TATATATATATATATACATATATATATATATATACACACACACACATACCCACACACACACGTGTACACTCATATTTATGTGTATATAACCTGCATGTACACACATGTAATATATACGACATACATGTGTACACACACATATAGCACCTAACACAAAGTAGCTATTAATTTTTCTCCTTGGCCTTTTTGGAGGGGAATGGAACACCTTCTAACAACTATCTAGAATTTCGTAGTCTATTGAGTTTGAGCCATTGATGTATTTTGGGTTTTGGCAAAAGCTAGCAGTAGGCCTTTCCTCATGTTTTCCAACATTTTGAAATATGGGAATTGTGGAAGAGCAGAAAACTCTTGCAGCCAGATCCCATGTTCTCCCCCTATTCCCCGGTTGCTTCTTGGAAAAAAAGAAAGATGTATTTTCTAATTTCTTAGGTGGTCACCTGCTCCATTGTCCAGTAATTCCAAGGTAACTGTTTTTCCATTCTCTGATTCAATCAGGGCTGTGACTTTGGCCCTGAGGATTGGTGAGGCTCCTTGGCGAATAGTTGCATAAACTACCATGGGGCTGGGAAATTTGCTTGTGACCTTGTTCATCTTGGAGGTCGCTGTAATTGGGGGCACGGTAGCACTGGAAGCACGGGAGGTAACAGTCAGAGTCAGGGTTTGTGAGCTTGTTTGCAGACTGTAAGTCCAAACACCAACCTGTCCAAAACAAATGGAATTTCCAATTAAAAATTGGACTCCGGGACCAGCAGGACTGTCGCTGGACTCCCATGTAGTCAACTGTGGTTTGAGTCCCAGACCCTTTGGTTTAAACTCACACCGGGCACATGTGTGTGTGTGCCCAAGATCCCAGGAGGAGAATGGAGGACAAGGGATTGCAGTGTGGCCATCCCCCCTGGGGGGTGATTTCTCACTTTCTGTCTCTGTTTCTCTCTGTCTTTCTGGCGAGCACACGCGCCCTATAGCAAAAACCTCTCCAAAGAAAGAAAGAAAGAAAAAAAAATTGGACTTCAAAGACCTGACTCCAGCATCATCTATAGGAAAAACCTATCGGATACAAGTATGTTGCAAACATGTCTGAGAAGATCTGTGCATCTTTGATACTTGTTAGCTAGGGGAAACTGCGGTGTGCTTAAACTAATTCTATAGTTCTATTATAGAAAAAATCCTAGTTGGGGAAAATGATGTCTGAAAGCTTGTCCATTGCCTTGGTTTCGCAAGAGCAGGGCTAAATTGACAGGCTACAGAGCTGAAGTAATCATTTCCATGATTCTGAGGCTTCAAGGGTCATTTTGCGTCTTGACGGCTGTGTGAGTTGCAGGTGCTCCCTTTAGCTCCTGGACAAGCATCACCATTTTTCTTTCTCTTGACATGCTGGGATACTTACTGAGCCATTTTCATTCAGTGGCAGTTTTTCCTTGTTCTCATTGATTGAATATTGACTCTCCTTTTAGCAACCAATATTTTAAAAGCTACAATTATTCTGGATAATCTTTGTTTTATTTTGTCAAATTGAGAGAGAGAAAAAAGAAGGACAGTGGGGGGAGGGAGAGAGAAGAGAAGAGGGGAGGGGAGGAGAGGGGAGGAGAGAGAAGAAAAAGCAAGCTGACTTCATACCTTCGCAGTGCCTGGGATTTGGAGGTAGGTCATTTTGGTGTGTGTGTCCACTAAAAATCCTTCTTGTTTCTTTCCAGTGGGATCCAAGAGAAGTATTTGGGGAGACTGCGTTGTCCAGGTGACAAGGAACATAGTATCTTTTCCTACTGTACTGTCCACAATCACTGTGCCGTTCATCCACTGACTGTCCTGGAGGGTTAGTCCCTTACTCTCAAGCTGTTAAGAAAAAAACAACTCCTTACTTTCAGGAAACTGCAACTGCCAGTGCATGGTCTTTTCCATTCTGCCTCTGACTCCCCAGTGCTCCCTTGAAAGTCTTCACTGATGCCTGAGTCTTTGGTTTGGTTTTTAGGACCCATTTTCTTTCCTCTGCTTAAACAAATGCCTAAAGCCATTTTCCCAAATGATCCTCCCAAATCCCTAACTCACTTTATCCTACTCCACATTCTTCCTAAAAGTCTTAATGCTCTTTTTCATTTGTCTAAGCCTTACATAGTCTTCAAAATTCAGCTCAAATATTACTTTTTCCATGACACTTTCTCATTTTCCAGTTGTAAACAATTTCTTCTGCAAATTCCTGTAGGATTTCATTGCTCAGTCACTTGACGTTCATGGTGCTTTACCTCATCCTTGTTGATGGACATCAGTTTATGTCACTTAGTAGACTATAAACCCTTCAGGGGACTGACTATGACTTATTTTTTACGTACATATTGATTGTTTCAATTACTTATTTGCTAGGTCAAGTGTTACTGTAGTGCCTGTGAAGATAAATGTAATAAAACAACTGCCAAAGCTATACTGTGTGGAGCAGAATAAAGGAGGGCAGAGACTGAGATGGGAAAGATTAACAAAGCTTTTGTAGAAAATGTGCTTTCCATCCTAGATAGTTAACTGTCCCTAACCTGGTTACTGTAGAGAAGAGCATCCTGGTCATGGAGCCAGATTTTCTAGTTTCATGGTAGATTATGGACTTGAATGTGGAGAAACTGAAGGACACTTAGATCTGGCTTTTAAGGCAAGTGAGTAAATGTGTCCTGATCATTTCTTTATCTCTCCAGCAGGGTTTTTATATATAAAAATAATAGGCAAAAACTATCCAACAGTGAACTTGTCCTTTCTAAAACATGTTTCTCTTTTTTCCAAACCAGTCCCTGAGTTTAATCTTCTAAATCTGAATTAGAATCCAGAGAGGTACAACTGTTATCTTCCTAGAATAAACAAATACAACATTGATAGACTAGAAAGTATTAGGCTTCGACAATACAGTATGCCTTTACCTTTATCCTAACTTTCATAATAACAGTTCTAACTCACAGGCATGAGTGCTATTTCAGTTGTGTTGTTGGGAACGTCATGACACATTTTTTTTTTATTGCATAGTAGAAAATATGTCATGAGTTTGCCAACAACCTAATAGTTTAAAAATTCATATGAGTAATTTCTGCAACTAGTGGTATATCGGTTAAGGTGCTGGACTCCCGCATGACTGACCACAGTTCAAGTCCCAGACCCAGTGGCTTGAAAATGACACTGGGTGTGTGCGTGTGCATGCCCAAGATCCTGAGAGGAGAATGGAGAAGGGGACTGCTGCATGGCCATCTCCACTGGGGGGTGATTTCTTGCTCTCCTTCTCACTGTCTCTCTGTCTCTGTCTCTGTCTCTCTCTCTGGCAAGTGCATGCATCCTACAGCAAAAACCTTTAAAAAATAAAATTGTGGGGCCACCAGGTGGCATGGTGATTAAGGCTCTGGACTCCTACATGGCCAACCATGGTTTGAGTCCTTGACCTAGCAGTTTGCTTCCTGCCTTTCTCTCTCTCTCTTTCTTTCTCTCTCTGGTCAAATTTAAAAATAAAAATAATAGATAAAATTACATAAAGAATTATTTTTAAAAATAGACTATTTAAAAATACATTAGTTATGGGCCAGCTCTGTAGTTAAGTGAGTCAGATCCCACATGGCCAACCGCAGTTGAATCCTAGTCCTGGTGGCTCAGAAAACACACCAGATGCATACTCAACATCCCAACAGGATGGAGAAACAGAGGAGAAGGGATAGCAGCATGATCATACCCTATTGAGGGGAGAGGTAATTTCTTCCTTTCTCTCTCTCTGTGTCTCTTGATCTCTCTCTAGCGAGTGCATACATCCTCTGACAATTAAAAACAAAAACAAAATATATCCTTTTCAAAAACAGTCCCATGATTTTTCAAAGTCAATTAAGATTTTTCTTTGAAATTTTAGAACCAGATGCACCCATAGAGGTTTTCTGTTCATACACAATAGAGAAAAGAAACTAAGGTCCAGAGAGGTGAAATGCTTTGCCTGTGATCAGAGTCAGTGTCAAGACCCAGGACCAAAATCCAGGTGCCTGGACTGACACCATGGGCTTTTCACAGCATGAAGCACTTTCCATCCACTGTATGAAAACCCTGGCAAATATCTGGGATTTGAAGTAATGGAAAAATAGAGCATGTAATCCCTGAACACTTGTCCCAGAAAACTTGCAATTGTGATGATCTACTCTGAAGAAAAATCTGAGCCAATTATATGGGTGCTTGTTAACAGATGTTAAAAATGAATTCTTGGACCCATTACATTTTATGTTGTTGGTTTCTATGAAGAAGTCACTGTTGTTTGCTAACACTTAACTAATTGCCTTGTTTAAAGTAGTGATGCATTTTAGAAATACAGTCTAATGTCAGGCTGAACTTCTCTTTTCACTTTAATTCACTACTATAAGAAATAGCAGTTTTAATTTAAACTTGAAACTTTTAACCCTTAAATTCTCTAACTTTACAATGATTATGTGTAAACATGAAAAACCAAAGAATAGGAACTCCGACCTGAATGGAACGCTGAGAAGGAAGTCCGTTTCCTGATGTAAGGGCCCCAAAAGCATCAATGAGGCCATTGTTCTGAACTTGATCTGAAGCATATGTCTGTAAGCCTCCTAAAATGGAAATTAGATAATCAGAAGCATGTATTTGCAACATTTTCACTGTTGCTAGGTGGGCAGAATACACAAAATATTCTATTGTATTATTAAAATATAAATAGATCAACATCAAATAGGTGCCCAGTTTAAGTCAGAAATTCAAACTAAATTTTTAATCTTGATAAATAATAGCTTCAGGAACATCTCAGCTGCCTGGCTACCTAGGCTATCTGCAGTGCAGCTGTGCATCTGACAGACCAAAATTAATATAATAAAATTTATATTTTAATGGTCATGCACTTTCACATAAGAGAAACCATTAAGCCTTACTCTGTCTATTAATTAGCCGCATTTGAGATACGATTTTTTTTTTTTTGAGAGAGGTTTTTGCTATAGGGCTCAAGACAGAGACAGAAAGACAGAAAGCAAGAAATCACTTCTCAGAGGGGATGGACATGCTGCAATCCCTTCTCCTCCAGTCTCCTTTTGGGATGTTGGCATGCATGCGCACCCGCCCAGTGTGAGTTCTTAGTTGCCAGGTCCAGGACTCGAACCACAGTTGACTACATGGGAGTCCAGTGACATAACCATTACGCCATCTGCTGGGCTCTTGAGATACAATTTTAACAAACTTGATTTTAGAGTTTTCTTCTAAATCAGAAAAAAACATATATTTGACAAGAGCAAGAAATACTAGCAGACAAATGGACAGTATTAGAAAGGCATGATATATTGTAAAAATAAGCTTATACACGAAGCTTGGACATCTTGGGCTATGATTGCAGATGTAGCTGAGATAGTTGATGTGAATTCACTTTTAAACTATGAAAATGCCATTCAAAGTTAAGTATTTCAGTAGCACTGTAGATGCCTACCCATAACCCCTTATCTAGGCAAGTGCATCCCTCCCCAGCTGCCTCAAGTATTGGCTGCTAATGGCTTGTAGTGCCTCTGTTTCCAGAGAATTACCTTACTAAAGGGGCTGCTCAGCCCAGAGAAATATGCCATTCACCTCTGCCCTGCCCTGCAATCCACAGCTGGTCTGATAGACACAGTGGCACGAAAGACCCGCTCTCTTTCTTCAAGGTGGGACCAAGTCTGTAACACAGTTCTCAATCCAGAGCCCCCTATGGGTCAGGCTTTAGCTAGACTCTTATGTGTTCTGCCTGTGCATTGCCCTCCACCTGCCCTAGCTTTCTGTCTCTCCTTTTCTCCTGAGATCACCTTCTATAAAACCACATGTCCTCAAATCACTTGTCTCAGCCCTGCTTCTAGGAAACCCAGCCCAAGACAGGCAGTACTAGGATCAGGCAGTCCTGTTCTTTTAGCTGCCTCAGAAGGTAGCTCAGTTCAATTGATATCCATAATTCTGTTCCTCAGTAACAATAAATAAATAAATAACAAAGTGTGCTCACCAACTCTGCTAAGGAAGCCAGGGACACCTGGGATGTATAATATTTTAACCACTTTTCTGTGTGTGGGAATCAGGCTCACACTATGAGGGGGCTTCAGAGAACTTGCGGCAGGTATGGAATTAAAGTATGAGTTTATGTGGGTACAAAGTTCGTTTTGAAACCACACATTGTTTTTTCATGATATGTGTTTTCCACGAACTTTTTGAAGACCCTTCCCCACATTGTGAATGTTTTATGGAGAAATTGCATCATGTTCTGTATTTTCAAAATGACCTCGTGCATTGTTCACCAGATGCTTTGCCCTTCTTCCGCTATTCCATCCCCTCTTTCTCAGACACAGTCCCCAGGTAAAGTTAAAGCTCCCTTCTTTGTTTCACATCGCACTACCTACCACTAATACAGCACCCGTATCATGGTATCATGAACTTAGTGGCTTGTCATCTGCCTCCCTGGGTCTCTCGGCCGGCCGCTGCCTGGAAATGAGTGGTGGCTGATGGGGTTCCTCCTCGTCATTACAAAGTGCCTGGGAAAAGGCAAGTGCCTCTCTCCCCAGCCGCCTTGAGTGTTGCCTGCTCCGTGGCTTACAGTTGCCTGTTTCCAGAGAATGACCTTACTAAAAGGGCTGGAGTCCATGCTAATGGCCATTTGGAGTAAGGGCGGCAGTTGGTCAAGATGACGACCCCCCCCCAGTCCCACCCAGTTCACTGGTGCTCACAGTCCCATGGGAGAGACAACAGCTTGGGTCACAGCAGATCAGGCCTCACCTGTCATTTTAGACAGCTCCTCCAGTTCTTTCGCTGCAGAGGGCCCCAGGGCCACTGTGTGGATGATGGCTCCACTCTGCTTGACCTCGTTAAAGCACCCGCTGATGCTGCTGTCCTCTCCATCCGTCAGCAGTGCGATTTCAGATCCATCAGTGCTGTATTTCTTCCTAATCACCTAAGGCCATAATCCAGGGCATGATTTATCAGATACAGGGTGGCTAGGGTGTTTATGAAAATTGCACTTGGAGCAAAGAGAGAAATTCCAGAGGGGGGAACAAAAGTGTCTAGGAATGGTCAGATATCTGTCTTGAATAATTTTTTTTTTAAATGTTTTTTGTTCTGTTTTAGATTTTTGCAATGTGGTGTGCACTTGCCAGAGAGAGACACAGAAATATGGAAAGTGAAATGTCATCCCCTTAGGGTGGTGGCCAATCCCCAATCATTTCTCCTCTCAGGATTTCTGGTATGCACACATAATGCCTGCTGGGTCTGGGACTTGAACCGTGGATTTGGCCATATGGGATCCAGCACCTTAACCACTATGCCACCTGCTGGCCCAGAAATGATACAATTTTAAACCAGCAACATTTGTGGAATTTGAAAGTGGTTTTCTCTCTTGGCTAGCCTCCTGCAGGGAGGGGTGTCGTGGGTTGCTGGGCAGCTTGAGGGGTGAATAGCACTGGGGAAGCAGCAAAGGCTTTTCTTTTTCCTTCACACAGTCCCTCTTTGAGGCACCAACAGAAGTTCCAAGAACCTCATTTAATGGGGACTGTGTTTGGGGTACATTAGACGCAGGGCAGTTTAGTTTGTCTGATATTCATTAGTCTGAGACCACCACCTGCTTATGACTGACACTAGTTCTAATTTGTCATTACCCAGGTAACATGTAATGTTAAAATTTTAATATCCCTTCTGATTAAAATCAAACATTTTGTTCTTGTTAACTCCCAGTTCCTAGTTGTCCTATGATTCCTTTGTCTCAACTATTCCTAGTAGACTCAGATTATACATATGTTTTTATATGGATGGTATAGAAAGGATACTCCTTCTGGGACCAGCAGTTGGCATAATGGCTACATTGCTGGACTCCCATGTATTTGACCGCGATTCGAGTCCTAGACCCAGTGGCTTAAATGTGCATGTGCGTGCATGCCCAAGATCCCAAGAGAAGAATGGAGGAGAAGTGATTGTGGCGTGGCCATCTCCCCTCGGGAGGGGTGATTTCTCGCTTTCTGTCTGTCTCTCTCTCTCTGTCTTTTTGGTGAGCGCACGTGCCCTGTAGCAAAATCCTCTCCAACAAAAGAGAGAAAGGATACTCCTTCCACCAACATTGAATAAGATTATGATGGAAGCGAAATTAGATGAAAGAATAGCACTGGGCCAGGCCTGTGGTTCAGTGGCTAAGTGGTGTGCGTGAGAAACTGGATCTCACATGGCCAACTACAGTTTGTATCTCATGCCTCACACATGTGTGCATGCGAGCCCTGAATCCTGATGCGATAAAGAAATGAAGGAAAAAGAATGATGGTGTGATCATGTCCCATCATGGGGCGCCTTCTTTCTCTCCCCTTAGTAAGTACTCATGCCTTCTGGCAATGAAAAACTAAGGGAAAATAGTGCCAATTGTTTAAGAAGAGTAGGTGATAGGCTGTCAGGTGGTGTGGTAGTTACGATGCTGGACGCTCACATGGCCAACCACAGTTCAAGTCCTGGACCTGGCAGCTTACTTTCGTGCTCTCTCTCTCTCTCTGTCTCTTTATGATCAAATTAAGAAAATAATAATGATGATGTTAAATAAAATAATTCTTTAAAAAAAAAAAGAAGAGAGAGTGAATGAGACCAGCAGGTTGCGTGGTGGTTAAGGAGCTGGAATTCCATATGATTGAATGACGGTTCAAGTCCTAGATCTGACAGCTTGAAAATCATGCCAGACATGTGCATGCATGTCCAGCATCACAGGAGGAGAATGGAGGAGAAAGAATAGGAGTGTGTGGCCATCCCCTCTGGTGGTGACTTCTCACCTTCCCTTTCACTGTCTCTCTGGCAAGCGCATGAGCCCTATGGCAAAAAACTAAAGAAAAAAATATATATATAAAGAGAAGGTGAAGATTCTACTTTTCTTCTAAAAAGCAGAAGAAGAGGGCCAGCTCTGTGGTCTACTGGTTAAGAGAGTTGGATCTCACATGGCCAACTGCATACTTCAAATCTCAGGCCAGTCAGCTTGAGAAACACACCAGGTGTGTATGTGTATCCTAAATCTCAAAAAGGATGGAGAAATAGATAAGGGGTTGTGGTGTGACCATTCCCCATGGAGAGGAAGGTGCTTTCTCCTCTCTTCCTCTCCCTCTCCCTTCCTTCCTCTCTCCCTCTCTTCTCTCTGTCTTTGTCTCCCTCTGGCAAGTGCATATGCCATCTGGTAAATTTAAAAGAAAAAGAGTGGAAGGAGAGACCCAGAATTAGAAGAAATAAACAACCAAGACTAAATAACTTCCTTTCTCAAGACCAGAATCTCAAGAAGGTTAAGTAGGTTGAAAGGAAAACTTGAGAGCAGAGGTGGTTTCCACTCCACTTCCTGTTCATCTCTGGAAGGAGGGGGCTGCCACCCAAGGCAGCCTTTGACACCTTGGAAGAGAGAAGTTTGTTACCAAGAAAAGGGGCCCAGAGTCCAGGAGTCAGTCAGCCATGGTCATGGCCTTGGTCTGACCGAGATGTACAACCTGAAAGACCAGGCAGGAGGCCCGGTTTGGATTCCCTTGTCTCACTCTCCATAAATGCTCCATGTCACGGAAAGCAGGTAGAAGTTCCCACACACCCCACACGGAGGACAGATAGTTGGCTGAGTTGAGAATCAGCAGGTGCGAGAACGGGTAATCTTGCCATAGACTAGGAAGTGCACAGCCTGGCGAGAGGCTGGATGGAGACAGCACAAGTGTGCTCAGGGCTCTGCCCCAACAGCAAGAGCAAGGGTGGGCTGAGTTGGCCGGGAGGACTGCTGCCATTGATAACCCAAGAGAACAAGCCCAAGTCCCATGGCTATGGTGGATACCTCTGTGAGAAGCCCAGGATAGACCTCAGGACTTGCAGCAGGGATCAGCAGAGATCTTGGGAACAACATATGCCTTTTTTTTCCCCTCTCGTTGCCCTGAGGAGACACAAGCTCCTCACTCCCCACACCCAGCTCCATGGTGGAGAGGGGGCATTCCTAATTCCTGTTGTGTCCCTCACACTCTGCTACCCTCAGAATAGAAAATGCAGAACTGCAGCTCTCTCTTCACCACCACGCCTTCTGGCATTAGTCATCTCCCCTAGAGTCTGGCATAGCAGGAGTTTGGTCCAGCACATAGGTGAGTTCACTGTCAGTGTGCTCCCTCATTTGTTTCTTTAATCAAAGCTCGGGTGGGTGAAGAAGGCAATAGAGCCCAGATGCACGCAGATGTCTGGGGAATGACCTTGCGGCTAACTGTACACAATGGAAACCGGCCTTCAAGATAGAACAGAGAGCAGAGGGACAGACAGCATTTGAGGAAATGGTTAAGTCTCATGTCTACATTAAACAGTGTGAGCTGAGCTCTACACGCTGGGACTTGGGAACCTGGAAGTGTCCCATTGATGTGTGTTGTGCCCAACAAGCAAGCAGAGGGCAGACTAGCTCAGGCTGCAGGGATGTTCTGAGCTCTTAGGCCAGCCAACCTCTTTCAGCCTTTTTTTCACTGTTTTTTTGCAGCTAAATAGCCTCTAAATAAATATAGAATATTGTATTTTATATGTGGAATAGTGAAGCACAGGTTATTAGTGCATCAAATAACTCAGTTCAGTTTATTTACTGAGAATCTCTGGTACTAGCAATATTGTGTCAAAAGCCTGGGAGGTTAAAAGATAAGAGCTAGCCTAAAGTTTTGCTCACGTCATGCACATGATTGGAATAAGCATAATATGGATTCTTCCACAGACTTTTAGAAGATGACCACCCATATAAGCCAAAAGTCCCCAGCGATCATTATTTTTATAATGATTTCATATATATGTATGTGTGTGTGTGTGTGTGTGTATATATGTATGTGTGTGTATATGTGTGTGTGTGTGTGTGTGTATATATATATATATATATATATATGTAGGGTTTTTTTCGTTTGTTTTTAAGAAGGGTTAGGAGGGGCCAGCAGCCCCGTAGCACAGCAGGTAAGCACTGTGCATAGGGAGCCAGATCTTGGATCTCACATGGTTCACTGCAGCTTGAATCTCAGCCTTGGCAGATTGGAGAAATGAGGAAATGAGGAAAAAGAATTACGGCATGAATAGGCCCCATTGTTGCAGGGGCTTTCTGTCTTTCTCTTTCTCTCTCTCTCAATCACTGCCTCTCTCTAAGTAGAGAGATGATGTGATTGAACGGTCAGATGAGATCTTTGGATAGGACCCCTTCAGTCATACTTACAGGCCCTAAGCCTTCTTGCTCTGAACCATTCCCTTTCCCTAAAGGAGGTCGAATCGACCCCACCGTTTGAAATGTTCAGTTGTCTCCAAGTTTAACCATACTGATAGCTCCTTCTGTATCTTTGTGTGCTTTCTTTCACAGCACTCATTACAGTTTATGAATAGACACTTGTTTGTGTTACTACTTGGTTAATATGTCTCTCCCATAGGACGATGGGCTCTGTGACAGGAGAGGTGGGATCTGTCTGGCCCTCTTGGTATTTTTAGTGCCTAGCAGGTAGAAGGCACACCACGAATATTTTGCCTGCAGAAAAGCATGAACACACAGATGGAGAAAACACAAAAGCATGAATGAACTAGTAACAATAGCTTTGCATCAGTTGAACCATTGCCCTGTCCTTGGTTGCCTAATTCAGTTAGACACTAGTCATGTATAGAAACACTAGGAATGGAAATTTCTTAGGAAACAAATTGTGGACACAGGCAAACAGCAATAGGGGAACATGTCTCACAGTAAATGCTGATCGAAGCCCAGAGCAGATAGACGTCCCTCCTGAAGCCACTGTGGGTAAACTTGCGGAGAGCGCATTCCTGTCAGCGCCACTGTTTATCTGTTTGAGTTCACTCTGTACATGGGCAGCACTGTCGAACGTCACCATCCCGACCCAGGACCCCTGCTCAACCGTCTGCAGCAGGAAAAGTTTGGCTGCTTGATTCAGTCGTTTAAGGCGGTCGCCAATCTGAAAGGAGAAGTGAAAGAGAAGCAGTCAGGTTGGATTTAGATGGTCAGACTAATAAGAGAACAGGTTAGGTGGAATTTGGAAGTAGCCGCCTCAGGAGTAAATGACAAGCTGACTTGAGGCATATCCTTCTACGAAGGACATTTCCTCATTTATATTTAACAGTGTCTGGATAGAATTTTAAGGTCTTGGTATAAATAGCAAAAGATAAGGCCAAAATTTGCGACCATGAATGTTCAGTGCTTTAGTAATAGTTGTAGGTAAGTCCTACACAGGACTATAGACTTCATGACCCATTGTCAGTGAAACATAAAAAATATTAAGCTTATGTAATTCAACAGTTCTTGTTCTTAAGTTAAAAGCTAATGGCTAATGAGACAATTGATAAGAAATTTTGTTGAATAAAGTTGAAGTGGATGCTTCTGATGGCAATGTTATTATCACAACTGTTTTGACCTTAGGATCGTGTTTATTCTGTGGTTCAGAACAGACGCGCACGTATCTGTGACAGGCATTCAGGAGACCAGGTTCATTGAACGTACCGACATGCTTCCAGACTTGTCTAGGACTAAACACACAATTCTTTGTCCAATCTGTAGCAATGAGAAAGTTGGCTGGGGTGGCTGTGTCGTCATAGGTGTGGTTTTCTTAAAGTCCTCAGAATCGCTAATCACTTCCCATGTACTTCTGAGATTACATCTTTGGTTTTGCAGGTTTGGGGCTTCTTTATTGTGGTTTTGTTCTGTACAGAATTCAACCACCTGAAATTGTCAATACAATGATAGAGATAATGGTAAACTGCTCAATAATTTGATTAAAATCTTTTAAAACCATATTTAAAATATTTTAATCTTCCACTGTTCTCCTTCCCCTGTCTTCCCTGACAACTCATAACGTTGGCTCTCATAACGTTGGCACTGCTCTAGAGAAGCTGGACCCTACATAGTACTACTGTTCAAACCCCAGTCTGGGATTTTGCTAGGCATGTACAAGTGCCTGGAGGAAGAGGATCACACCCTTTGAAGGGTGCTCCTTTCTCTCTCTTTCACTCTCACTTTCATGTGCTCTATCATTAAAAATAAAAAAAAGGAAAGAAGAAAATTTTAGTTAACGACCAAAAATAAGTACATGCAAGAGGAAACGAGCTCTCTGAAAGATAAAGTAAGGACTATTAATCATGTCTGTATTAACCAATAAAAAGAACTGCTTAGTCTCCTTAGCTACATTTTTATTTAAGAATTTTTGTGCTTGTATGCCATAAGGGTATTTTAAATAATTCCAAGCACTTACTAAACTAAAAGTTAGTGGGAGAGATATTAGGATAAAAGATTTACCCAGGGAGAAGAAAGAATGGACACACAGAATGGAGAAAGGCAAAGATTGGACTTCCTCCTAATTTTCTACTCCTAGCTTGTTCCAGAGAGGGTCGGCTGCTGAATTTTTTTCCTTAGAGCATTTGGAGAAAAAACAAAACAAAACAAAAAACCTCATTGCATTAATAAGACTCTAAGGAACAAAAAAGAACCAGAAAAGCCAAAGAAGAAAGTACTTACAGAAGCAATGCTTTGTGCAAACATTATTGAAGCCTTCTCAGTCTGCTGGCTTTGGGGCACGAACTCACAATCTTTATCATACAGTCCTGTTAATTTGTCTGGTCTGCATGGTCTGGTGACACAGCTGCCTCCCTGACACTTATTTACCACATTTTTACCATTAATAGCTGCCGAGCACCTGAAATACATCAAGGTTAGATGTTCAGGTGATGCAGTCATTTCAAAGGGTTAGACGGTGTAGGTTTCTGACATGCCATCTTGTCCATGATTGCCATTTATAATCCAAGCAACGTACACATCTAGTTACATAGCAGAATTAAATTTTCCTCAGAGTTATTTTTTGTTTGCCAGAAAGTATCTCAGGAGCTCCTAAAAATAGTATCAGAACTTATTTCAATGCAGCAGAAAAGCAAAATCTGGCTTATGGCTGCTGTTCGCATTAGTAAGAATTAAAGTTCTTAGGCACCTCCTAATCTATTTCCCTCATTTCTGGAAAACCAAGAGCCTTGTTTTGTTTCCTCCCAAAAGGGAGGGAAAGAAAAAAAAAAGCATGCTGACATTTCTCTAACTTCTTTTTAATTAGTTTATTTCATTCAGCTTTTGCATAGTTTTTGTATGTTCATAGGTATTTTAATTTTTTTATATTTATGAGTTTTGTTGCTATTATAAGTAGAATGCTTTTTACACATCTTTTTAATGATATTTTGGGGGTGTATAAACAATACATGAACACTACAGGAGATTTGGAAAGTAGCAAAAGTATAAAGGAGAAAAGAAAAAGATCATGTTATAGCAGCAGAAAGAATCTGTGGCTAACCTGCACAAACACTTCCTTCTCTTTCTATTTACCAGCTTAGCATTGCATATGTAGCTTTGTTTCCTGCCTTTATAAAACTCAGTATGTTGGGGCCAGCAGGTGGTGTGGTAGTTAAGGTGTTGGACTCAGCACACATGTGTATGAGTGACCCAAAAATCTCAGGAGAATGTGGTGCGGCCATCTCCCCTGGAGGGTGATTTCTTACTTTCCCTCTCACTGTCTCTATCCATTTCTCCAGTGAGTGCACGCACCCTAAAAAAATCTTAAAAAGCCATATCTTCTTTCTAGAGACTTTATTTTAAAAAAAAAAAAAACCTTAAAAAACCAAAAGGAAAAAACTCAGTACTTTAATATATTTAAAATTTTAATACATTATTTAATAATCTTTCAAAATGTGACTTTAATAATTCCGTTTTGATATTATACTAGGAATTCAACCTAATTTATTTAGTTTAGTCTCAATTTGTTAGTAATAAAAGTAAAACATCAGTGAATAAAGATTCACATAAAATTCCTAATGTAGTTTCAAACTTGTTACATGATCCATTTCCAGTTTGATTCAAACATATGAACATTTTTTGTTTTGCCAGAAGGCGCGTGTGCTCCTAGGAAAGAGGTAAAAAGAAAAGGGAAATGGGAAAGCAACCCCCGTGTCATGGGGAATGGTCAATCCCTTCTCCAATTTTTCCTCCTTTTAAGATTTTTGGGTCCACATGCACATGTGCCCAGCAAGCCACCCAATAAGGGAATCTAATTGCATGATCAGCCATTTGGGATCCAGCCACTTTAACCACCATGCCATGAACTGGCCCTGAACAGTAGTAAAGCCTATTGATACAACTCTTTCTATCATTTCCTTAAAAAATATATTTAAACATGAAATTACTGGTCAGAACACAGAAAATAATTTGGATTTGATATAGAGCTAAATTTTTTCCCAGAAAAGTTGTGCCAATTTATACCTTTAATAATCAGCCACAGGGGACCAGCAGTTAGTGTAATGGCTATGTCACTGGACTCCCATGTAGTAGACCGTGGTTTGAGTCCCAGACTCAGTGGCTTAAACTCACGCCAGGCGTGTGTACGTGTGTGCCCAAGATCCTGAGAGGAGAATGGAGGAGAAGGGATTGCAGCGTGGCCATCCCCCCTGGGGGGTGATTTCTCGCTTTCTATCTCTCTGTCTCTCCCTGTCTTTCTGGCAAGTACACGTGCCCTATAGTGAAAACCTCTCAAAAAAAAAAAAAAATCAGCCACAGGATTACACATCCCAACTGTAAGTTACTGGGCAATCTAGTAACTGGTTGATTGTTAAAGGCATAAATGGATTTAATCTTTATCAAATTTGTATTTCTTTTTTTTTTTTCTTTTTTTGGAGAGGTTTTTACTAAAGGGCATGTGAGCTCTCCAGAAAGACAGAGAGAGACAGAGAGACAGAAAGCAAGAAACTATTCCCCAGGGGGTATGGCCATGCCACAATCCCTTCTCCTCCATTCTCCTCTCAGGCTCCTGGGCACACACACACATGCACCCAGTAAGAGTTTAAGCCACCAGGTCCGGGACTTGAACCGTGGTCGACTACGTGGGAGAAAGCAAGGTGCCAGGTCTGGGACTTGAACCATAGTCAGCCATGTGGGAGAACAGGGCCTTATCCACCATGCCATCTGCTAGCGCCAGGATGTCTGGGTTTAGATCCCAGGTACAGAATACACTGGTAGCACCTGTCCATACCCATAATCCTGGTTGGGAGGCTAGGAGGGAGATCATGGATCATAGTGTGGGAAGACCCTGTCAAGTGTACTTCTCTCTCTCTTTCTCTCTCTCTCTCACACATACACACACACACACACACACGCATGCTATCTTTCAAAATAAATAAATAAACCAAAAATAAATAAATGAATAAATAAATCTCTAAATTTATTTTGGTTTTCTTTTAAATCTTTTAGGACTTCAAGTTTTCTTCACATATTACTTTTACATTTCTTAGAGTTTTTTTTCTACTTTTATTATACCTCTAACTTCTCTTGAATGTAGTAGTTTTCCTTTTATTTTTAAATGGATTATTGCTAATAGATAAGAAGGCAATTTGAACATTTATTTTGTATCTGGTCACCTATGGACTTCTCTTGTCAAGTCTAATTTCAGTTTATTCCCCTGGATTTCCTATGTGGACCACATATCACCTGCATAAAAATTTTTTCTGTTTCTTTCGAATAGCCTTTTCTTTCTTTCTTTCTTTTTCTTTTTTTTTTGGAGAGGTTTTCACTATAGGGCGTGTGCGCTCGCCAGACAGAGACAGAGAGACAGAAACCAAGAAATCACCCCCCGGGGGGATGGCCACGCCGCAATCCCTTCTCCTCCATTCTCCTCTCGGGATCTTGGACACGCACGCACACGTGCCCAGCGTGAGTTTTAAGCCACCTGGTCCAGGACGCGAACCGCGGTCGACTACGTGGGAGTCCAGCGACATAGCCATTACGCTAACTGCTGGTCCCTCTAATAGCCTTTTCTTTATATCCCTAGTTTCAAGTGTTATCGCACTGGGTACACCTTCCTAAACAAGGTTAGAGAACCATGGTAATGGTGGCCATCCTTATCTTATTTTCGGGAATGTCTCCAGTGTTTCCCTATTAAAAATGATGCAATCTGTTGTCTTTCAGTAGATGTTCTGTATTGTATACATACAGGAAGTAGCCTATTGTGGGCAGTATTGTCATTTTGGTATTGTTTCTAGGCCTTAAAATTAATTTTAAAATTTGGAAGATAAAGAGAAGAACATATTATTAATATATTAACATTAATTTTGAAGGGGACATGGTAATCATGTCATCTTTGCTAATGTGGTTATCTAGGGAAGAAAGTGCTATAGAGGTAGATATTTCTAGAATATCTCTAGGAAGGAATGTGAACTAATCAGCCTTTCTCTCGAGAGTAGACAGTGTCTAACTGTCTGGAAGCTTAGAAAACAGATGTGGAGAAGGCAGACGTCAGGTTTGGAATGGTGCCCTTGGACTGAGAGTTGAACGATCAAACTTGTGATCTCAATTCAATGGGAAATGATGCTGGACTGTGGTCTGCGCAGTGCACCACGTACAAGCTGGAGGAATCTGACAGACCGTGTGGCTCTAGGAACAGCAATGCACTAGTGTCTCTTTATGCCTGAAGAAACCCCACAAAGAAGGATGAAATAAGGGAGGAGGGCTGAGTTGACACAGTTTGAATGGGAAGAGGCCAGTGGAGCTACAAGGCTCTTGTGAGAGACATGGAAACCTGAGGCTGAATTCTGTGCCCAGTGCATTCCCCCCAGGAGACAGGTCTACCAAATCAAGCTAGTAAAGGAGCTAACTGAAGCCATCCCCTTGAAGAGCCATCAGACAGGCAGGACCAGAAGCTTACACCAGCTTCTGTTCTTTAAAAAGAGGTTAATGTTTTCTAACTTAGGGAAAAAAAAAGCTATATGTATTTTTTTAGGTTTTTGTCATAGGGCACGTGTGCTCACAGAGAGAGGGAAAATGCTAAATCACCCCACAAGGGGGGATGGCCATGCTGCAATCTCTGCTCCTCCATTCTTTTGGGATTTGGGGCACGCAAGCATAAGCTCCCTGTGTGATATTTAAGCTGCCAGGTCTGCAACTCGAACCACTCTCGGTCATGTAGGAGTCCAGGACCTTCACCACCATTCCACCTGCTGGCTCCTAAACATGCAATTTTGTCAAGTTCCTTTTGAGAATCTAGTGGAATAATGATTTGTTCTTTACTTGATATATTAATTATTCACCTAATATTACAACAGTTAGATTTCTGGAAGATATCCTACTTGACCCTGTTATTCCCTTACTTCTGCCAGTTGTAATCTACCTTTTTAAAAAAAGTCTTTAAATATTTTTTAGAGAGTTTTATCTAGAGATACTTTTTTCATTGTATCTGTCAGCATCTGCATTATCTAGCCCTTGAAAATAAATTGGGACGTTTCCCATCTACTTATGTTTGTGCTAAAGCAAATTATATACACTAAAACTGTTGGTTGCCGAAAACTGGCTCCTAAAACCATGGCAGCCAAGGGTACTTTCCCAGCATTGTTTGTTTTCTACTGACACTAAACAGAGTTTAATTGAGACTGTGAGGAGTTTTTGTTTTGTCTTCTTACTTGGATTCTCTTTCAGATAAGTTCCCTAGTCCTTTTCGAACCATTCAACCATTCTGCCCTAGAGGTACTGAAGAGCCCATTAGCACTGTTTTTGTCACTGATTCTGGTACAGGAAGGTGGAAAGCCTCAACAGAGCACCTACTCATTGGTCAAACTTGGTACGTTTATAAAAGAGAGAGAGAAATGATTTCTAATTGCAGAGTGGCAAATTCAATTAACTGATGTACACAAACATGGTAGTTTTATAGAAATCTGAAAAAGAAGGCACCAAGAAAATAGAGATACAGTAGAAGACAGAAAACTGGTATTTTAAAGAAATCAATTTTAGAAACAAAATTGGTTGCAATTTAAAATAGTTTGGGAAAAGTTAAATCAAAATATACGTACTTTACTGCTTGGTTTTTCCCATTGGATAAGTAGAACTTCTGGTCCTTGTTGTACTCATCAAACACACCCCACCGCAGGTGAGCCCATTCGTGGACAAATGTCCTTCCTGTGAGAACAGATATTAAAGCTCTGGTTACAGTGTAAATAGCAGCAACGTGCTTAGTGTCTCTTTATACCTGAAGAGAAAGCGCTGGGAGAAGGCAGTTCATCTGGACACTCATTATGCTCTGCTATGTCAATATATTTTTTTAAAATTAAAGGCTTGATTTCCTTAGAATGATTGAATACGACAACTGTGCGTTTCTCAAACATGTAAATACTTATTTTGGCTCATCACTGAGTAAGTGGCAGACAGTTATTAACACAAAAATGAAACAATGTGTTATCTTCACGTAGCTCATGGTGCAGCGGAGGGCAGGCACCGTCAGATCACTGGACTGTCAGCCATGCGAATGTAACGGTGGTGCGAGTGTCATGGCGGAGGAGGCATTCACAGAGTAGTGAGCGCAGCATCCACTCCAGGGCCTTCTCCCTCCTGGCTCCTGTCTGATCAGTCACGAGGCCTGCCTACTACAATTCTACTATTTTGCCTTGATACATTCTCATCTTTCTGGTCTCATTGCCATTTATTCCTGAATTACTGCAGTGCCCATCCAGCTGGCCTCCATGTCTCCAGCCTCTCCTGGCTCCCTTGTGTTGCTTGGGGAGCTGACTCCTTCACATGGCATATGAGGTTCCTGATGATTCAGGCCCTTCTCTCTGCAGTCTTATTTCTTCTTCCAACACCTCGTAAGGACGATGAATTCCTAAACTCTTGCTTTCCAGGCCACACCATGCTTTTGCTCATCTCTGGTCCTTTTATACATCTTTCCTCACCCCAAGGAGGATGGCCACACTGCAATCCCTTTTCCATTTCTCCATTCAGGATTTCGGGCAAACCTAACTGTGTTTTTCAAGCTGCCAGGTCCAGGACTTGATCTGTACAATTTACCATGTGGGATCCAGCCATGTTAGCCACCCTGCCATTGGCTGGCCCACATTTTTCCTTTTTTTAATGCCATTGGCTGGCCCATATTTTTCCTTTTGTAAATCCCTTCTTTCAAAATCAAGCTTCTGTTCACCTGTGAACCTTCCCTGACACCCTCAAATTAGACTAGGAATGTCTCCTTTGTGTTTTCCTTCCATTCCACTATGGCACTTACTGTGTATATTGGTATTTTGCTGTTTTTGTTTTTTTTTTTCTTAAGAGAGATTTTTGCTATAGGGTGTATGTGCTCGCTGGAGACACACAGAGAGAGACAGAGAGAAAGTGAAAAATCATCCCCTGGGGTGATGGTCATGCTATAATCCCTTCTTCTCCAGTCTCTTATTGGGATTTTGGGTGCATACATGTACCAGTGCCCAGCGAGAGTTTCAAGCCTCTGAATCTGGAACTTGAACCGCTTTTGACCCTGTGGGAGTCCAGCGCCTTAACCACTATGCCACTTGCTAGCTGTGTAATTACCATTGTCTCACATTAGACACCTGTCTCTATGAAGATGGGCAATATGACTTATTCATGGTCATAGTTGGGAACATGGTGTCAAGAACTGAGTGAGCACTCCGTAATATTTGTTAAATTTGAATAAATCGTAGGTGACTTAACTACAACTTAGCTTTTCTGAAGTGTAAATTCTAAGTGAACTGAATTTGGAGGCCCAGGTTAGGGGGGAGGACATAGAACAGAAGCTCTAATCTCCCATTGTAAGGATTTAGGTTAATCTGTAGGTCCTGGAGAACAACTGAAGGTCTCTTAAAGGTAAGGGATAATTGTGAGGGACCAGAAGTGGAGTTACAGTACAGAAAGAAGATTTTAAAAAAATGACATTATATATGACTGTGACAATGGGAGTGGCCTCAGAAAGGGGAGGGAGCAGTGAGTTTAATCGTTTTTTTTTTTTCAGGAATTTATTGAGACAAATAAATAAGTTTATTTATTTATTGGGAATTTTCTGTTCCTGTTATGGAGATGAAATGGAGTGTTAAAGAACAGCAAAGAGGTCATTTGCCTTTTTTATTTCTTTCCCTGATAAGGCTCTTTAAGTGCTTTAATGTATTTTGGGTGGGGGCATGGAAGTGCCAGAGTTCTTTCCTTGTGTATTTTCCTTGCCTTGTCTATTTTAGTAAAGAAAATCAAGCTGGTTCTAGGAGTCCTAATCTTTTTTGAAATAGAGAAATCTAATAGCAGTAACTAATTGCATTTGATTATACTTGAAAAGTTCATGTTATATATGCTCCTTGCTTATTTTAATATTTTCCCTGAGGATTGCTCTGTCCAGCTCTACAGAAATGGTACTCTATTTTGCAAAGGAAGATTAGACTTTTTTCTTTAGTTACAAGTTTTTAAGAGCTGAACTGCAAGAATATTCTGCCTACTACTCAAAATGCAGCTTCTAGGTCAGCAGTATCAGCAACACCTGAGACACTGTTAAAACTGAGGTCCTCGGTCTGCCCCACAGCACAGCAGGGAAGGGAGCCAGATTCCACACACCTGACTGTGGGTTGAATCCCAGCCCCAGCAACTTGAAAAACATCCCCAGCCATGTTAGCCCCCCTGCCATTGGCTGGCCCATATTTTTCCTTTTGTAAATCCCTTCTTTCAAAATCAAGCTTCTGTTCACCTGTGAACCTTCCCTGACACCCTCAAATTAGACTAGGAATGTCTCCTTTGTGTTTTCCTTCCATTCCACTATGGCACTTACTGTGTATATTGGTATTTTGCTGTTTTTGTTTTTTTTTTTCTTAAGAGATTCTGCATGCCCAGAATCCTGATGGGAAGAAGGAATGGAGGAAAAGGGATTGTGGTATAACTACACCCCATTAGGGAATGATTTCTCTCTCTCTCTCTCTTTCTGGCAATAAAAAATAATTAAGTGAAACAAAAACAAAGCACAACAATAACAAAGATGCAGATTATTCGGGTCCTACTCCATACCCACTGAACCTGAATATCAGAACTTAAATAAAATCTTTAATCATTTGAATCACACATCAAAGTATAGAGCACTGTGCATGTTCACCATCTGGTGGCCATCACATGAATTGCAGGAAGGGCATTCAATTCATTCAGGTGAGTCTCCTTACAGATCCATAGAAATGTATTATACATACTAACAGTTATATGATACTATATAATTTTTAAAATAAAAATACTGCATTTAAATTTTATTCGTGAAAAATAAGGATTTAAATTTTTAGCTCAGAAATGCACTATTTTGGATCCTAGTTTTAAGTAAAAAAATGCTGTTGATTTATTTGTAGTCATTTATTTGGCTTAAATGTGTTTACTCACCAAAATCGTGCTATTGTTAATCTACTTTGAACGTAAAATAACTAAATGTTGTAAGAATATATATAGACTATTTCATGTGCATCCATACCTTGTGGCCCATATTGAACCAACTTTTTTCCTGCTAAGAAGTCAGGAGTGAAATAAATCTTTTCACCCATTTCTCCACACTTTCCCATCTGCTCAGTGTAGGGATCATCATTCCCTGGAGGATTAGGTTCAGCCACCAGAACGTCAGCCTGAAATTTAAGACAACATTTTGGTCATCAGGAAATTTTAGCAAATTGTCCTTGTTCACACAGGAGTATTTCAAACAATTTTATATGATTTTAGAGTATTTTGATTTAAGAACATCTGAATTACAGAAAAAAAATAGAATTTGAAAGAACTTTATATTCTCACATTTTTGTAGGTCTCGAGTTTGGGTCTCATATACTCAGGTTTTGTCTTCCATGTTTCAGGAATCAAAATGGCAACACTTTTGAAATAAAATCTTTTTCCTGTAGCTTCAAACAGGTATGGAGATGCCTGGGTCACCATGTCCTGAGGAGAAAAAAATCGTACATAACTGTGATGAATGAAAATAGACTAAATCACCATCCTTCAAATTTACATATGTATTTCACAGTTTTTAAAAGTTTCTTTATTTCTTTCATGAATGAGAGAGAAAGAGAATATTTCCAAAGGGATCTTGATGCCATGATCCCAGCTTCAGCCAAGAGCAGACCCTAGACAAACTCATGCTGGGTGTACTCGGGGAGGTCTCCAGACTTGACCCTGGAACTTTCCCATGTGGGACTGCTTTATAGTGTGTCGTGTTTAACCAGTGTGCTTCAGCTGCATCCTGTATTTCATGCTTTAAGAGGCAACTTATTTGTCAAGATGGGAAATGTGGAAATATGTTTGAATAATAATAGGTTGCCTTTTTGAGTATATACCATGTATTCTGTGTTTCAGTGGCATGACTCTAGAAACAGATACCAATCCTGGCTTTACCATTTATTGTGGGACATTAGCCAATTTCTAATTTTGAGCCTCTGTTTCCCCATTTACAAAGCAGAAATATATATATATATATATAAGCCTGTGAGTTTAAGTGTCTATTTGTATGAAGTCACCTTCTCAAAATCCAGAATGGATGCCAAAACAAAGGTAACTTCATGGTTTTATTAATATGGAAGACAAGAGCATTTCATGCTGCTTATTTAGGAGACATGAACATTCAATTTCACAAGTCAAATTGTAATACTATACTTGGAGAGGTTTTTGCTATAGGGCGTGTGCGCTCGCCAGACAGAGAGATACAAAGCGAGAAATCACCCCCCAGGGGGGATGGCCATGCCGCAATCCCTTCTCCTCCATTCTCCTCTCGGGATCTTGGGCACACACACACACACACACACACACACGCGCCTGGCGTGAATTTAAGCCAGCGGGTCCAGGACTTGAACCACGGTAGACTACGTGGGAGTTCAGCGACATAGCCATTACGCTAACTGCTGGTCCCAAAGTAGAAAATATTATAGTGACTAGTTGATAAGGTTAAGATGAAGAACAAATGAAGTCAAGTGTGAAGCACCAGGGACAAGCGCTGCATAAATGTCAGCCATTAGTTTCACTGCGTTTGATTCTCTGAGGATCAGTATGTCGTGGAGGGAGAAACTGAGAATGAAAGATTCACAAGGTCTTACTAGCCAGTAGTAGTGTAGAGAAATTCAAAAACACAACTTCAACAACTGCAAACTCTAGATGTAACTGGGTCTTCATACTAAATTAAACTAAATTTAATACTAAATATTATGGCAGCACTTATTTCTAGTATACCTCTAAGAGTTTGATATAAGGAACAGGCATCATTACATATTTTTGAATCATACCTATCTTTATTTCTCTAAAATGAAGAGTGATAGTGTTCAATAATAAATACCTCAGCAGATTCCCTGAGATGCATTATGACAAGACATAGTATTATCAGAGACGGTTATAGAAAGAGGGTGTCAGGTCTACTAGGAGGACTGAAAACCATCGGCCTCAAAAGTGGGTGTTGGCAGAGGAATAAAGATGGATAGTGATGGAGACTGGTGACGGGGTGGGGATCCCCAGCACTTAGAGGTGGGAAGCAGAGAAGGCAACAGGGGAGATGCTGCAGAATAGTCAGTGCCCCTGAAGGAGATCAGAGACCTTGGTTTGGGACTGTGTTATCAGAAGGAGGCTCAAACGTTGCCCTCAAGCACTGTTGAACAATCACTGCAAATGAGGAGTCAGAACTCATGGCTGGGCTGGGCTACATGGGCGAGCCATTTCAGCCGAATGGAGATGTCAGCTCTGTAGCAGTGAACACAAGAGTGAGGGGAGGAAGTGGAGATGGCGAATACAGACAGCAGTTCTGAAAGTTTTCCCAGAAATGGAAGAGGAATGGAGAAATGAGGCAATAGCTGGAGTAGGACACCAGGGAAGTGAGGGAGGTTTGTTTCCATGTGAACTTAAATGCTAATGGCAAAAACTGATGTAAAAACAAAAGAAAAGTGAGGAGTGGGTTAATCATTGCAGAAGCAAATCCTTGTTGAAGCAGACCAGGGTTACTATGCTCCACTGCCTACTGGGGTTGGCTTTAACAAGATGAAACAGTTCATCATTTTCTGGGGAAGCATCACCTAGGTATTGGTGCAGGGATGAATTCTGCTCTGCCATTTTCTAAGGACATAAACTTTGAGAATTTATTTTATGTCTTTGAGCCTCAGTCCCCCCTGTCAAATAGTTGTGATAATTTGCCTTGCTAATTTTTTAAAAAGCATTTTTAATACTTTGCATCTTCCTCTTTCAAAACCTCAGATTTTCAGTAGTCACTAGTAGTTTAACATCATGTCAATTTTAAAAATAAGAAGAGCCCCAGAAGGTCAGAAAGTGAGTGTAGAACTTCGTATGTGAGAGCATTGTATTACAATTTGACTTGTGAAATTGAATGTTCATGTCTCCTAAAAAGAATAAGCAGCATGAAATGCTCTTGTCTTCCATATTAATAAAAACAAGAAGTTGCCTTTGTTTTGGCATCCATTCTAGGTTTTGAGAAGGTGACTTCATACAAATAGACACTTAAATTCACAGGCTGAGAGAAGGTTAGAGCTCACAGGTTATAGGATGGACTGAAAATTCCTGAAGGACAAGGACATATTGACCACCATGGGACTCCTAGTATCTGATATGAGGTAGATGCTCTGTAAACATTTGTGGAATGAATATAAGGTGGTATGATGAGTGACAAGCTGATACAGCAGTGCTGGCAGAGGCGGTGCCTGAGCTCCTGTGCATGAGGAGACCCCAGAATACTACCAGTGTGTGTGTGTGTGTGTGTGTGTGTGTGTTTGTGTGTGTGTGTGTGAGAGAGAGAGAGAGAGAGAGAGAGAGAGAGGGTGGGGTGGGGGACAGAGAGAGAGCCCTTCTCCCCGACCCTGCTTTCCTCATCTCCTGAAGTGAATTCCAGCCGCCTCTACAATTAATACAGTCAGGAGTGCAGGTGAGGAGGTGGAGCTGCTTCAGTACCGTCTACTGGTCTTGTAGGTGAAGAAATGGTCCTGCTGCAGCAAATTAGAAAGCTTAGATAAAGACGAGCTTGTCAAGCTTGTATTTGTTTTTGAAATTAAATTAATCCTTGATAAGAGTTGCTTTTCTTTTTAGGAGTTAGTCCCTGACCACTAACTAGTTTGACACCATCTCCGTTTGGGTGACCTATCTTGCCAGCAGACCCGTCACTCTCCATGACTGACTGTGTAAGTGCTTACAATGGAATAATTACTTTTCTACCTTTTACAAAAAGAAAAGAAAGCCTATCTAGAGGCATCCATCCCCACAATGGAACTCTGGAGAGAGTCTTTCCTTAGGAAGAACGTCACTGGAGCAGAGTGAGGAAAGGTGGCAAAGCCCGTGGTGAGATTCCCTGGAATATCAAATATAGAGGGAAAACTCACTCATTAACTACCGAATTAGGCATTTTGTTTATTCTATTCCACCTAACTCTTGAGATGTTCTTGTTATAGAGAAGAAAATGATTAAAAGCCGAAATTAAATTAATCCTTGATAAGAGTTGCTTTTCTTTTTAGGAGTTAGTCCCTGACCACTAACTAGTTTGACACCATCTCCGTTTGGGTGACCTATCTTGCCAGCAGACCCGTCACTCTCCATGACTGACTGTGTAAGTGCTTACAATGGAATAATTACTTTTCTACCTTTTACAAAAAGAAAAGAAAGCCTATCTAGAGGCATCCATCCCCACAATGGAACTCTGGAGAGAGTCTTTCCTTAGGAAGAACGTCACTGGAGCAGAGTGAGGAAAGGTGGCAAAGCCCGTGGTGAGATTCCCTGGAATATCAAATATAGAGGGAAAACTCACTCATTAACTACCGAATTAGGCATTTTGTTTATTCTATTCCACCTAACTCTTGAGATGTTCTTGTTATAGAGAAGAAAATGATTAAAAGCCAGCGTATCTCACACCAGTTCATTTAGGACTCATAACAGAAAGTTGATTTATTAATTGGAGTGAGAATTGATTTCTCAGGAGGAAAAACCCCCAAAAGAATGCAGTGAAGACATTTTGAAAGCCATAAACCACTATATAATACATATTGCCATTCTCATTAGAGATAAAACATCTATTTTCCCCTTTGAGAGTGTTCCTGAACCCCACTGTCTAGCCAGAGACAGAAACCCCCAGCTGTATGTTTCTCTTACCCAATCCATATCTGTTTTTTCAAGTGTCTGCTTCTGTTTTGCTGATGCTGTTTCCAAATTTACAAGTAATGGAAAACTCACTGAAGATTTCTGATTATTGAGCAGTTTTAGAAGATATGAATTTCCCTTTTTACCAAAGACAGTCTGAGTCTTTGGGTTAAACAGGTTAGGCTTTCTTGTGGGTAGCACCCTCACTTCCATTTCTCATTTGCTTTTGCTGTCATTTTCTACCCACGAACTTGGCATGTAGAGATGGTTCTCTCTCTAATCTCCTTCTTTCTGGGTTTGCCTCTGCTCAGAGCAAGGAATCTTTGGGAAGGACCCTCTGGGCCCTCGTATTAATACTATGAACTTTTCTATAGGGAGATTAAAAAGGGGACTGGCTACCAATGATTAAATCCACCATTTACTGAGTTCTTACTATATGCCATGCACTATGCATCCATTAAAAAAATTCATGATAATTTTAGACTTACAGAAAGCATGCAAAAAATTTACAGCACTCTTTATACTCTTCAACCAACTTGTCTTTACATGCCTGCCTTTTGAAATTTGAACCTCACAAAATCCTATGAGGTAGGTAATTATTATTCCCACTTTATAGTCCAGGACTCTTACTCATTACACAGCACTGCCTCTGGATTCAAAACTGGTCTCTGATGAAGCATTTCCTTCTCATTTTTAGCTGTTTACTATTGCACAAGGTCTAATCGAATGCCTTCACCTGGGAATAGTTTAGATGCCTCTGCCAGGATAGGAGGTATCTGTTTGCTTTCTCTTTCCCCACAGAAGAGGTAACAAGGTGAGATGCTGCCCCTTGGCATCCTTGAAAGGAGCCATTGCAATGGGGTTGATAAAAATGCAGGGTTTCCTCTCATCAGGAGATTCAGATTTAATCTTGGGCTCCTATTTTAGATGCAAGGGAAGGGGGTTACAATGAGAAGAGCAAAAGGAGAGTCTGGTAGATGCCAATGGTAAAATCAGGTACAGGACTTACCCTTTGTTCTTGCAATACCTGCCAAATGTGGCCAGCTCTGCTTCTGTGGAGAACTAACTAATTTTTGGTGAAATCATCCACAGCCCATAAGTATGGTCATCATTTATTATATGCCAAGAATGTATCAAATTCTGAGTTACGTGCATTGCATTTAGTATCTCATCTCTCACAGAAATTCTTATGGTTAAGTGTTCCCATGGTCATTGTTTCCATTTTTCATAGAAAGATGCTGAGACTTAGACATAAGAATGACATGCCAGTGTCATGCAACTGGAATGAGAGAACTCAAGATCTATGACATTATTATTGTTTCTAAAGGCATGGATAATTACCATCTTGAACTTACCTTTATGTGTTGAATGAGTGTCTCATCTTCTGGCACATTAGGGTCAATTGCAATGACAATGCCTTCATAGCCATTATTGTTCAGCTGAATGAGTGAGTTGCTCAGGGCCCCTCCTAGCAGATGAAGGGTCAGAATGAAGATAGAACTCTTAGATGACCCCATTGCTGTGCATCTCCTTTGATCTCTCCCTTCGGAAAATGTTGGTTATAGAGGTGTCTCTCTTTACCCATATATATATATATATATATAAAAAAAAGGTGGCTTGTCACCACCTTGGGTAGTAACCCCTTGACCTGAATTGATTCACTGTTGCATTTGTCTTCAATGTGACAATGATTAACTACAGCTTTGCCTCAAATTGTGTACTTGTGTACTTTTAGATGTTTTCATTGGAAGGAGTGTTGGTCTTGCCTTCAGCTGTGCCATATGCTCAAGTGAGGGTGGAGGAACAATCTAGTTCCCTGGAAGAACTCACAGGTGACAGGCAGCCTGGTTATGAAACGCTTTGTTTACTTCTTACAAATATTTGCCTAGCCAGGGGCACCCATCCAACCAATGCCACCTTCAACCTTCGCCTGTCCAGCAGAGGCCTGGTTGTTCTGCATATTCAATAAGCATTCATAAAGGGTAAGCCTTATCATAGTTGCTTACCCCTCATGGTTTCTTTACGTTCATCCTCATCAACCTTGACGGGGCCTCAGCACCCCTCAGCGCTTGCCTTAGACAACCCACTTGTACCAAAAGCATTAGCATGTCCAACAGATATTTCTAAATATTTTATAATGGTGACAAAAGGTAAAATTTATATCTCGTGTCCTAAAACAAATCCCCTCAAGTTTCATCAGACCAAGGCTGTCTCTACTCCATAGCTCCTACCAGCCACTCAATAAAATTCAAAGTAACCTCATTAAATTATTTTGCTGAAACTAAATATGACTTAGAATATGAACTATAGATAGCCCATTACTGTATGCCTTTTAAATTTGCCAAACTTCAACTGAAAATTCAAACTTGCCCATCATTTTTCTGTAGTGAAACTATAGAAAATGTTTTCTGTATCCCTTCATCCATAATATTATTTGGTCTTCAGATGGTGATAAGTGTCATTGGCATCTTGTCTGTCCCTTTTCTGTGATACTGGTTTCTAAAAATTACATTAGTACTTACTAACACAATCTTAAGCAATTACAACTGAAACATTGAAATGGAATGGAAATATTCAATTATAAAGTGACTGTCCTGGGCTAGCAGGTGGCATGAAGGTTAAAGTGGCTGTGTCTGATATGGTTGACTTCACAATTAGAGTCCTGGACCCAGAACTTCAAAAAATATGCCAGGTACATGTGCATACATGTCCAAAATCTGAGAGAAGAATGGAGGAGAAGGGATTGTGGTGTGGTGTTCAACCCTGGGAAATGCTCTCACGTTCCCTCTCTCTCTCTTTCTCTGGCAAGCACATGGACCCGACAACAAAAAAACTATAAATAAATAAATCATCCAGATGATCCAAAATATGCTTTTATATTAAAACATTCATACCTATATTATACATATGAAATTAAAAGAAAAAGATCCCATAATATCTCAGACCCCCTAACAATATCTTTGCCTAAATTCCTTGGAAAACAGAGCCTGAGGCAAGCTGTGTGCTGTTGGTTTATTTGAGAGTTTAATCTCAAAATAGTGAGAATGAGAGAAGGAGGAAGTGGGTCTGGGAAGCAATGAAAAATGTTATTAACCTGGAGATTGCCATACCATGAAGAAATTTAGCAGGCCAGCCTGCAGGTACACATGTCCTGCCTCTGGGATGTCCCCTAAGGGGATACACAAGGAAGCAATTCCTTGGAGCAATCCTTGGAGGGAGGAAGGGGAAGTGGCTCCCTCTCATCTTATACTGGTGATCAACTCCTCTAGACTTCCCGGCTGTGTCATCCAGCCCCTCCAGCTGCTTTGTGGAAAGAGACTTCATGCTTGTGGTGTGAGAGGAATCAGGGATTCCAGTAGATGCCAGGTTGACCTCAAGCAGTGGAACCAATTTGGCCTGCAAGGAATACATAGTGACTATTCCAGTCTGTTATTTGCTAGTAACAGAAATAACCTGAGTTTGGAAAATTATAAAGAATAGAAACTTTCGGGAACCAGCAGTTAGCGTAATGGCTATGTCGCTGGACTCCCACGTAGTCGACCGTGGTTCGCATCCTGGACCCGGTGGCTTAAAACTCACGCCGGGCGCGTGTGCGTGCGTGCCCAAGATCCCGAGAGGAGAATGGAGGAGAAGGGATTCCGGCGTGACCATCCCCCCTGGGGGGTGATTTCTCGCTTTCTGTCTCTAATGTCTCTCTCTGTCTGTCTGGCGAGCGCATGCGCCCTATAGTGAAAATCTCTCCAAAAAAAAAAAAAAAAGAATAGAAACTTTGGACGAGCAGTTGGCATAATGGCTATGTCGCTGGACTCCCATGTATATTAAGCCCTCTAGGCTTACTCATTTTACCTTAAATGATAGGATTTTCTTCTTTGTAATGGCTGAATAGTATTCCATTGTATTGATTTTCTCATTTCTTTATTGATGAACACATTTTCTTTATCCATTTGTTTGTTGATGAACACTTAGGTGATTCCATATCTTGGCCATTGTGACTAGTGCTGCAATAAACATTGGGGTATAGATATCTTTACAACACAGTGATTTCCATTACTTTGGAAATAGGCTTGTTAGTGAGATTGCTGAATCATACTACAGTTCTGTTTATAGTTTTTGAGGAACTTCCATGTCATTTTCCATATTAACTGTACTAATTCATGTCCCACTATTATGGTTTGTAATCCTCCCAAAATTCAGATGTTGAGATCTGGCTGTGATAGGATTAAGAGGGTGAACACTTAATCAGACTGTGGTGTTGTAAATGGTACAGCCTTTCGGGAGAAATTACAATAAGGTCATTAGGCAGGCTAACATGATTGACTCCTGGTGGGTTTTTTAAGGGGTGGGAATGAGACAGAGAGACTCAAGGACACAGAGGATCTGCCCTGATCTTGACTTTGTAATATGACGCCTCGAGTTTCTACAAAACCCCCTCCAGTTGTAGTCCCTGGATCTTAAACCTCCAAACCATGAGTTGAAACAAACTATTTTTTTAAATGACAAAACATCCAGACTCAGATATTTCCTGTTATTAGCAACTAAGCAGACTAAGACACTCACCAGCAATGTAAAAGAGCACCCCTTTCTCTGCAACCTTCCTGGCATTTGATTTTTTTTGCCTTTTTGCTCATAGCCCTTCTAACTGGGGTGAGACGGTATCTCATTGTAATTTTTATTTGCATTTTCTTAATCCAAATCATCTTTATTTTTATCAACTTCATGATTGCTTGTTCTTTCGATTACTGAGAGAGGTATGCTAAAATCCCCAATTATTGTGAGTTTGTCTTTTTTTTTTTCCTTTCTTATTTCCTTTCTTTCTTCCTTTCTTCCTTATAGGTTGTGTCAACTTTCACTTTGGATTTATTTAAAGCTGTTGTACGGTGAATACAAATTCAGTACTGCTATATAATTATCCTTACAAATGTCTTTTCTATCTCTATTAATACTTCTTGCATAATATCTTTTTATAATACTAATCATGGTACACCAGTGTTTTTTGAATACTGAAAATTAAAAAAAGTGAAACTAATATAACATGGAACAATGCAAGGGACATGAAATTCACTTAATAAACAAAAGTATCTTTAAACTTTCCCTTCATTCCCACCTAAACAAATCTTAACCTTAGAGGAACAAATGGTAGACTAATCAAAAAAGAAGAAGAAGAAAGCTAGGGCTTTACATGGAATTCTATCACATAAAAATGAGTAAAATGGGGAAAAGCAGGTGGTGTAATGGTTACATCACTGGACTCTCACATGGCTGACCACAGTTCAAGTCCCAGACTTGGCAGCTTGAAACTCACACTGGGTGCATGTGTGTTTGCATGCCCAAAATCCCAAGAGAAGAATGGAGGAGAAGGGATTGTAGTGTGGTTTTCCCCTCTGGGGGATGATTTCTCACTTTCTGTTTCTCTGTCTCTCTGGTGAGCATACCCACCTTATAGCAAAATCTCTTTCTAAAAAAAAAGAAAAAAAAAGTAAAACTGAGCAAAATGTAATTCAGAGACTTAAATATTTAAGAGTCAATTTTAAGCTCTTCACCTTGCCTCACAGTGCCTCAGTATGCCTCTGGTCTCCAGCCTCCATCTCATTACTGCCTTTCTTAATTATATTGTAAGGCTTTGAAGAAAAAGACATTCGTACATAACTAATGGAGATAAATTGATACAAATGTTTTAAAGGGTAATATTCATCACAATTTAAGTCTGTGTACCTTTAGCAAACAATTCTACTCCCGGCAATTTACCCTACAGTCATACCCTATAGCAGATGCATAGGGTGACACGTTCAAGGGACAAACTCATACAGGTGCCTGAGTTTATATATACAAGGGTGTCTCACAAACCCTGCTTTATAATAGCAAGAAAGTGAATTATCCCAATGTCTACTAATAAAAGAACAAATAAGCTTCTTTATTTAAACTTTTTTTTATTCACCACATCTTTCCTAATCATCTATACTTTTTATAATAGCACATGTTACTTTTATAATTGAAATAAATTTATAAATAAAACATGTTTATTACCATTTTGTAACTGTACATGTTTGTGGGGTATAATGTGATTTTTTTTTCAGTACAAATATACAAATAGTGTTAATGTGCTTTAGTTATTCCTATTATTGGTCTTTAAATTTTATAAGAAATATTGAGAGGGTCTATTAGTAAGATTGTTCGGTTTCATACTGAAAAAGTTGTTAAACAAATTTTGTTATTGTTTGTACATGTTCATAAGCTGCTGGTGTATGCCAAAAGTTAGGGATGCCGAAAATCAAAAAAATTTGACCAATATAGGTGTATGAAATTCTATTTTTACAAGCTTACTAGCTCCTCTAAAAACATGAAATTTCCCAAGGTGGAAGAGGATAATATAAGCATGGGCAGATATTAAAAATTGGGCCTATATCTATCTGAGACAAAAGCTGGAAAACTCCTGTCTGACAGCTTAGTAGGGTAGGAGTCTTAAGGAATGGGGTGAGACAAGTTAAGGCTAGAGCTCCAGGCTGCCGTCTCCCCAAGTCCTCTGCCACCTTG